AAACAAAGACTAACCTGATGTTACCTCAATCAAGAAAACTTTAATCTTTATTTTGGGTTACATGAAAAGTAATTCTGAGAAATTATTCGAAGTGTGCAAGGATGTATTCTCGATGCACACGTTCCAGAATGCTCTTCAGATATACAAAGAGTCTGAACACTGATGTGATAGAAAAAGATAGAAACACCAACTTTTTATTAAAACACTAATTTTTCCCGGGCCAAAAGAAAAAAAAATAATGATATTTTTTTTTTTATTTGCTTTTTATTATTTACCTATAATAATAAAATTTTTAATATTTTATTTTTATTATTTTTTTATACTACTAGAGAAAATTTAAATGCTGTACGTTTTACGTCTGTGACTTTTTTTTTTTTAAAGGGTGTTCGTGGTCCTGGTGGTGGGTACGGCCGCCTCCTCGTCTTTTTTTGGAGGGGGGAATTAAGAAGGATCCCCAAAAAGACACGGCGTTAATTACACAATATAGGTGCAGATGCAACAATTTCCCCAAAAATTTTAAAAATTAATAACATTTTGAAGACCCTTTCCCTTATACTTATTTCATTAAGTATAAGAGACAACACAGTGTGTCAGAATTCCCAACAAAATTTTCTGTCACCTATTTTAAATTTTAGTTTACGGAAAATTAAAAAAAATTTTCGAAAAAACTTTACAAAACATTTGGTTTTTTTACTGAAACACATCGTCCCTTAAGCTCCGAAAGTTATAAAAAAACATAAAAAAAAAAAAATCCCCAAAGCCATTTAAAACCCTTAATTTTATGTATATGAAGTACACAACACACATACACAAATACCACTTTACACACACCACTGCGGATCCTCTGGGAACCACATATACATGCTTTAATTTAAAAAGTCGTTTCATTTTTAGATAGCTTCTTTACCTAAACAAAAAATAAATTTTGGGCATGTATTTCCCAAACGCTTGTACAATACCACCCTTAAAACGTGGATCGGCTTCATAGGGTCATTGCTCACCCAGTCTTCGTTATATACCTGTCTCTGGTACCAGCAGCTTTCCCCCATTTGTCGTACACTAATGGGGGCCCTTTAAAAATTTAATCAGAAGTCTCTTTTTAAAATTTGGTTTTTTCTTAACTTTAGGGAGGGTTTTTCCCGACAGTGTTTGGCATATAAATTTTGACCTGAATTTAAAAATTTATATAAAACAAATTCTTTATCTTAAGTCATTATGAACTGCTGAGTACCCCCTTACCTTACAACAAATTTCATTATGATTTTAAAAATCCAATGTTTCGTTAAGTTTAATTTTTTTTCATGTGTAAACTTATCACTGTACTGTTTAATTTTTTATGCACAAATCATTTTCCCCATAATAAATGAGTTTTTTTTTTTTTTTAATCTTTTTCGGCCCCCCTCTTGAACATTTAAAAAAGTATCTCTGTTTTTATGCAACCAATTTAAATGTTTTCATATATGGTGTGGTTTATAATTTACTATTTGAATTTTTGAAAAAAATTTATTCATTACATTACCGGGAGAATGATTATTTTTTATTCTTAAAGTATTTTTAATATTCCCTCCCTTCCCTTCCTGTTTTTCTTGGGGTTTGTAAATGGGCAATCGGACCGAAAAAGTCGTTAAGCCCTTTCTTCTATGTGCGGGTATTTGGTATTTTCACAATACCTTATTAACCGGGATTTTAGTGATTAAAAAATTTTTTACGCTAACATCAATGCACTTGTTTCAAATATATTGTTGAATTTTTTCTTGTAATTTCACTGTAACGTGAAATTATAGAAAGAAAAGAAGGGCATTTCTTTATATTACGTGACTTCTCCACCTGCATCAGTTGGGAATTTTTTTGTAATATTCACTCTGTAACGGTAACATATCCCCCGTAATTACCCAGTGAGTATTTACCCGGTTCAGAATATTTTTGCTGGTCGCACTTTTATTTTCGTGGGTTATATTTCTCTCGATCGACAATCGGACTTGCGTTTTCTCCCTAGTTTTCAATTACAATTTGGAACAAAAAATAACATAGTACACTAATACCACGATCTAATAACCCACTAACCCGCATCACACTATAGGTTCCTCTTATCCTTAAACCCGACTAGCATGTTTTCCTGAATTCCTACGTACATATTACCATGTTCATTCCGATCTACAGTGCTCCCACTTTTCTGCTGGATGCTCAATCCCCTTCCGCTTTAAAAAAAACAATTACGGTAATTGTTATGAATTATAGCTACACTGAGGTTTCACAAAACTGGGTTTCAGCGTTTTTGTTATACCAGTGTTAGGAGAATTAAACTTTAAATTTTGCAATTTATATATATATATATATATATATATATATATATATATATATATATATATATATATATATATATATAAAATAAATTTTCGATGTTACTGGGATTCAGAAACTTGTCTTGGAATATATATTACATTGCATGTCTTTGAAAAGTTAGCACATTACTTAAAAGACGCTTTGTGTATATTCTAAGGCGTATATCTTGTTTTCATGTATACACCGAGGGCAGCAGCGTATATGTACTAAAATGTGTATCCTTGACTGGTTGTGTGCAGATGTCATACAACTGTTTCTTAACCTAGAAGCCTAACTCTTTAAATTAGAAAATAAGAATAATTTAACTTTTATTAATTACGTAATTGGCTATTATTCAGACTAAGAAGCAAAGGGTCATTTTTTCTCGAAATTATCAGTGAGTATAAGAGAAAAGAATTATTACTTGTTATTCAGTAAATTGTTAATTCTAAATAGACTGTACTTTATTCGAGATAAGTCATGATACTGTCAGCGAATACAGAAGAATGGACAGGGATTCGAACCATTGTCCAGAGCAGCAGCTGGACCTGCTACCATTCAGGAACACGGTTAGATTTCCCGTCCCTTCTGTATATTCATATTGTATTTTAATTTATAATCAACTCTTTCGATAAAGTAATTAAGTTTCTCGGTAATATTCTTTGCTTATATGTAGTAAAGTGTTATTCATAGTTATTTGAATAACAAATAATCAAGATTGCCATACTCATCCATTATTTTAAATCCCTGCAACAAATCACAATTTAGATCCATGCATTAACTTTCTCTTAATCTATTTTCTAGTTGTAAGCCTCGGTATATTCAGGTCTTCAGTGGGATGTGCACTGTTAAATTGTTTTAGGAATGAGTAGACTAATAGAGAATAAAGATTTTATTAGTCACCTTTACATCAGTGTCGTTACAGTGCTCTCTAGGACGTTAAATATTTTTTGTAATAAGGCGAAAGTTTGATATAAATACAGCATTCCACATCAACATTTTTTCTGCTATAACAAGTAAAGAACAGAAAAAAGCATGCAGAAAATCTTTTTAATATCTGTGATACATTACGGCAACCAACGCTCCACCTCAATACTTCTGACGCAAGACAAGCAAGTGTATACCATTGTTTGATCTCCACACAGAACTATGGAGCGACGGTACAAGTTCCGACCCACAACATTGTCTGAGCGCACGTGGATTGTATGGATGTGGCAGTGTGGCCTGTCTGCCAGACTCATCGCCCAGGAGAGTGGCACCAGTGTCACTACCGTCTGTAGGTGGATACGACGCTGGACCACAGAAGGTAACGTCGAATACTCGACCTCGACTCGGAAGACCACCTCGCATTACGACTTCAAGCGGAGAATATATAAGGTCGAACATTGCCAAAGAACTTTTGTCTTCAGGCCATGACGTCTGTATACCCCGACACCGATCAGCTGTAGATCGTCGCTGCTTTTCAGAGACATACAAAAAGAACTGGCCGTCCTTAAACGGCAGTCGATTAGTCTCCAATTACGCAAATTCCCATTTGTAGACATAACTTCGGATGGTTAGGAGCAGATTCAGTTTAATAAACAGAGAAAACGATTTCTCGGGCGAGTTTGTGCAGTGAACAAAGGCTTATTCTGTTGATATGCTTTTTCCAGAAAAATAACATTAAAATCGCATGCAAATAATGGTGCAACGAATGTATCGTGTTATTTTAAGAAAATTTACTCTAAATAGATCAGTACCAAATAAGTCGTGTGATTACGAATATTTGTGTTCGTGTGCACGCTTACGAAGCTCTGTAATTACTTAACTTATGACTTCATTAAGTTTGCTTTTGGGTTTTTACAATAAGAAAAGTTTAAAATAATATAATCCCATGTCTGAGTCTTAATATGCAAAAAATATTGCAATAAAAATTGAACATAGAGGTAGTTTTGCAACCCATTTTCCTGTAAATATTTTGGAAATGTGTATATTCATCTGTATTTGCAATGTAAGAAATGGTTACTCAAAACCCAAATTTTTAAAGGGGGCGGAGGGGGCCAGCCAGCGGAAGGCCTCTGTAAATGACCAGAAACTCCAGCGGCGGGTTATGATTAAGATCAGCGTCAGGAAACACTTTCCTGTTTCCTGACAGATCTTGCCTAACCTAACCTGTATTTACAATGCATTAAAACGTTACTGAAATGTTTAATTGTGCTCATTTAACGAAAAATTATACACTTAGTGATTGAGATTGTCGACAACCGTAGGACAGTTTCCTCTGAATGATGGTAATTAAAACGTCCTTTTAGCTATATTTTTAAGGCTAAAGGATACTAGGAAAATTTTTTTAAGGAACATAAACACCAATGCTAGTTTCATCATCATTCAGACGTCCAGAACTCAACATAGAATATAGATAAATAGAACAATGTTAGTTCTGCGGCCCCCTACAGGGCCTACCCTGTACTATCAGGCAACACAAGGGTGGCCAATGTGGCCACACGGTCTCAATCCCTGGCTGAACCTTGGACAAGTTTACCTGCTTTTTAAGCATTCTTCCACTGTACTAACATTACTTTGATATTAAAACAATAAGAACGGATTTATAAACCGTAATAAAAGCAGATACATATGGCAGTTTTAACGCAGTCGATTTAACAATTAGTGTCATTAATAATTTCTATAATGCAGAGCACTGAGGTTACCAGAGATGATGGGAGTGACGTCTCTGATAGTGTTCCTGACCACTGCTGTGCTCACGGCTGACATGCACCCTCTTCACTATCGTAAGCTGACATTTGCACTCACAATAGTTTATCTAAAGTGCTGCATTATGCTCCTAGTAGACACTCGGAACTAATCGTTCTTCAGTGTTGAGGGTAAATGGCTCACTTTCTCCTTTCTCACTTTCACTTCGATGTCGTATATAAACTCCTGGATGACAATATATGTTCACTATTACTCCCTTGTAGTTTCGTGGATTGTTTTTTAGCTCCTGGCACTACTTCCTGGCTGAGTGGAACCAAGCTTATCTGCTTATATCCTTATTTGCCTTATACTATTCTTAAAGCTGTGCATAGTTTTCCTCAAATACTTTCTAACCATCATGAGGTTGAAGAGGTATTTCCTGACGTTCCCTATGTTCATTTTTGTCTTTACCGTCATACCAGTCTCTCGCGCAGTCTTTCCCTATTCACCCTTTCTAATCCATTTAATATCTTTTTTGCATCATTATCATGTCTCCCTAATATGTCTGGCCTGCATTATCATTGCATAAAATTTTTATACTTTCCTCACTGAGCAACCCTTTTTGTCCTGGAACTAGTCTCGTTAATTTTCTCTTTTTTGTTTTTGCCATGCTTTACTAGGATTCATAAATGACTCCTGTAACAGTAGTTCAATGTAAGTGCTATTCTCATTCCTTCTTAATACATTTTCCTGACCACTTTCCTGTAGTTTGTGAAGATCACATTGAAGAGTTGTTTATTCAGGTTTTATTATCGTAGAATAGGTAAGATTCGTCAGGAAACTGGACAAGTGTTTCCTGACGCGGGTCTTAGATGATGACCATCCATTTAAAAATGTATATTATCCTTTTTATGTAGGACTTTTTCTCTTCCAACATGTAATTCCCTCATACTTGTTACAATTATCTATTATGCCTCTTCATCTCGTCTACACTAGGAATACTTTGATTTACTATAATTTTTTTATTTGTTCCTATCTACGAAATTATCAGATGCCTTCTTGCATTGCAAAAATATGCATTCCACTCATCCTTCTCCATCCTATGTTATTTATGTCATCCAGCTTTAGAAGTCCAACAAGTTGTGAAACAGGATTAATCTCTAAATCGGTGCTATATATATGACCGCAACAGTCAAAGGGTTAACCCTTTGACTGTTGCGGTCGTATATATACGTCTTACGAGGTACCGTGTTTGACGTGTATATACTCATAAATTCTAGCGACTTCAAATCAAGCAGGAGAAAGCTGGTAGGCCCACATGTAAGAGAATGGGTCTGTGTGGTCAGTGTGCACCATATAAAAAAAATCCTGGAGCACGCAGTGCATAATGAGAAAAAAAAACTCCGACCGTTTTTTTTAATTAAAATGCTGACTTTGTGGTCTATTTTCGTATGGTATTTATGGTTGTATTCTCGTTTTCATGGTCACATTTGATAGAATGGAAAACATATTATAGAAATAGAGGTGATTTTGATTGCTTTTACTATAAAAAGAACCTAGAAATGAAGCTCAAAGTAGGGGAAATGTTTGATTTTTGCCAATGTTCAAAAGTAAACAAATGATGTCATTGTCCAATAAATGTCCAACTAGCCATTCTAATATACAGTCATGAATGGGTTGATGTTATTTATACAATTATTACAGTATTGCAGTAGCCTGCATAATAGTAAGTCTTCTATTTTTTATTTGAATAAAAATTCAAAATAGAAAGCAAGAGTAATATCAGAGGGGCCTGGAGACATGACTGATGAGCAAAGATGTTATTTTAGAGCCAGGAATGGCTGCATTGTTCATTCTGGACCTTATTTTGAAATTGTCATATTTTTTAGTTTTCGTGAAATTGGCCAAATTGCAAATTTCTGACCACATTATTAGGTAGTTGAAATTAGTAAATGGGCAGTTTCTTGTACTCAATCGATAGAAAAAATGGAGTTCTAAAGAAATAGCTATGAGTTTGGGCGACTGGAACAATGGAATTAGCCGAAAATAGGGCTCAAAGTGGGCGAAATCGCCGATTTGTAAACAGCGCCGAGGTCGCTAACTTCGCGAGAGCATAATTCAGTCAGTTTTCCATCAAATTTCGTTTTTTTGGTGTCATTACAATCGGGAAAAGATTCTCTATCATTTCATAAGAAAAAATTCTTTGTTTTTTAAATTTTGCGACACCAGGAGACACCTCAGGATTGGGGGTTGCGACAGTCAAAGGGTTAACAAAAGAGCTTCTCCCTAGGTGTTACTGTTCATTTGATTATTGGTTCTATTAACTTATGAACTATACATTGCAAAAGAATTAGATCAGGCAATTGCCTAGTTTCCACTGACCTGTAGATTTTATCTGGTGGTTCACTCCTCTCACTGTTTCCTTGCTTTGTCCAATTCATATTTTAATTTGTTTATTTTAGGCCCACATTTTTTGACTGATGAATACATGTAGGTTTGACCTTAGAAGTCTGTACGTTTCGTCCGTAGCAGTCAGTTTTTTTACATAGTGCAAAAATTAAAATTCTATATAGAATTCTCCACCTTTAAAAAAGGCCTTCTTCTCTTATCGGAGAAACTAGACTCATTACAAAGAAGCGAGCATATCTGCTACTTTCAGCCTTTCTACTCTGTATCTCTTGTACCAAATTCTTCCCCGTTACTAATCCCTGCCCGCTTGTTTATGTAACCTCTGATCATCCCCCTCCTCCTGCCATCCAATTCCCTTGCTTCCTTCCCTACCCTGCAGCGCTGTATAGCCCTTGTGGCTTAGCGCTTCTTTTTGATTATAATAATAATAATGTAGATTTTATCTGGTGGTTCACTCCTCTCACTGTTTCCTTGCTTTGTCCAATTCATATTTTAATTTTGTTTATTTTAGTGACCAACATTTTCTTGACTGATGATATACATGTAGCGTTGACCTTAAGAAGTCTGTACAGTTTGTGCTGGATAAGCAGTCCAGTTTTTTACATATAGTGAAAAAATTAAAATTCTTATCATAGAATTCTCCAACTTTAAAAAAGGCCTTCTTTCCTTATCAGGAGAACTAGACTCATTAACAAGAGGAAGCGAGGCAGTGAATGCTGTGCTGGCAACAGATTCTGCAGCACTCTGCTCACTCATTCTCTTCGTTGACAGCAAAACTTCTTCTCGTTCAGTTTCAGAGGTGCATTTCTGTAATATATTGAGTTCTCTTTCTGCATTACGTTTGAAGGGTAAGATGTACTTGTACATACATGGCGAGCAAACAGAGCATTATATTATTATACAATATCTGCCTCTCTAATTTTTTTTAAGATAATTGGGAACTTGAAAGCCTCGGAAGGTATTGCTGTGTTCGCTGTGGCAGGGGACAACCAAGAGTATAACGAGACGCAGGCGCAGCTGTGTCGGATGGTCGACCAGGCTCGGCGGGTACGTCACTCACAATATTGCTCAGCCGAATGTGTCACTCGCATTTCCGCTGTGAAGAATACATTCTCACATTGATGCTAAGGCGGGTTATAACTTTCAAATTACTACTAAATCAGTACGTCACTCTTGTATTACTACTGAGGCTGGTATATCATTCGGAAACGAGTTAGTAACCACATCGCCCCACTCATTACAAATGACACTGATACGTAATTTTCGCATTACTACAAAGGCCAGTATGGCAAGTCAGGGAACAGGTACTAGATCACATCAGCCTCACCCTTGTTGACATCCACAGTTACGGCAGGTGTCGCGGTGTTTGAGGATGATGGTGGTGAGTGACGACGCAGCCTTCTTGGTGGCATTCGCTGAGTGTTCCCTCGAAGGTCGTCTTTTGGTGTGGTCGAATAGGCTCCTCGCTGTCACCCGCCTCTCCCTCCAGCAGCTGCAGCAAGTACAGAGACTTTTTCACAGACAAATTCTATACTGCTTCTCGTGAACACCGTCGCAGGATATTTACAGTAACTGTCTCGATGTGTACCAGAAAATGATTATTTTTGTCTTATTCGTCAGGAGACAGGACAAGTGTCTCCTGCAATGGGTCTGTCATATAGATGACCCGTATTTATTCGGAACTGTTATGATTATTTGATGTCTGCTGATTATAATAACAATCTCTTTTCTAAATTTTAACTTAAATTCAACTATAACATTATACAAGAGGTTTTTCAAATATTTTATTAACTTATATTTATTTGGAATTAACGTAAGTTACTTGATCATAAAAGCACAGAATTGGAATCAGCTGTGACAGTTGATTTTAGTTACAGTAACGGCTATATTATTTTCCTTGCTACAGCTATAATATGTATATACACCTACCATATACACCCAGAGATACCAAGGCATTACGAGTTGCTTCTTGGACGCCCAAGCGAGGACTCGTACTTACAACCCACCTTCCTCTCTTCCCTAACAAGTTCTACAAGTGAGTTACCGAAGATGTTGTGCCTAATTGAATTACAGTATTTACATGGCTGGCTGTATACGAAATAACTCTCCTAAAATGTGTATTTAAAAATTTACATAGCAAATTTCCACAAAACTGCTCCTTTTAAAATTATATTTTGTATACTATAGCGGTAAGGGTCTTTTTTTACTCTTAACTCGATCTAATGACACCCGTTGAAGTAAAGTCCTATTGCTATATGCAGTTAACCCTAATTTTTAGAGGTGGACTGGTAAGCCAGTGAAAATCCTCTGTCAGATGACCAAAAGCTCCAGCAGCAGTGGGTCATCAATGACTAAGACCCGCGTCAGGAAGCATCTGTCCTGTTTCCTGACAAACATCATACCTCCCTAAAGCCCCAATAACCTTGTACTTCTTGCAGAAGTGTGGTTCTACTAACCTAGCACCACCTACAGAAGTGTGGTCTTCCCACAGGTTCCTTCAGAAGCCATCACTGGTGGTGGCTGGAGGCCAGTATGAGCCTCACGTTAATGTGTTATTCAACAGCAAGACGCCCCAGGATACAGAAGTCACGTTCTACGGACCTATGATCAACCTTCTGGAAATATTTGCACTCAACATCAATTTCTCGTTAGAAAACATTTTTAGTGTATCATATCTTATTAGTTGCACATATTTTTTAGTGTAGAATCAATTAATATCAGAAATCAGGTTTCTATATAATATTTCGCTATCTGGGCATAGTAACAAGGCAACATTCGACAAGATTGTCATTAAAATTTAATGTTCGTGTCTTGTTAGGTACAGGATTGTGCGGCCTCCTGACGGAGTCTGGGGAGCTAAAATGCCAAACGGGACCTGGATTGGCATGGTGGGGATGGTTGTCAGAAAAGTGAGTGTTTAAAAAAGGGTTCATAGCTTTTGGTCATCGATAGTGGTTCAAAAAGCCCTCAAGTTTTAATTTATTATTCTTCTTATGGCAAGTTAATAAATATATATCGGGATGATAATATTCAATAAATGTAGCTTACGCTAAGAGAAACTTCAGTACATCAGTGACAATTTCTAAATATATCGAAAAATAGATTATTTTGTGGGAAGCTCAGTTTTTTTCTTTTCTTGGAACTAAATATTTAAAACATCGGCACAGGAGGTTGATTTTGCGCTTGGTCCATTTGGCATTACCGCTGTTCGTTATGAAGCGGCGGATTACACGAGGCCAATAGTGATTGACTACGCCAGGATCATGGCCAGGCGGGGAAGGCCGGAGGTGGATCCTTGGGGCTTTGTGTTGCCCCTGGCACCGCTAGTGTGGGCTGCCACCCTGACGACGCTGCTGCTCCTCTGTCTCATACTGCTCCTTCTCTCAAAATGTTCCTCTTATCTGCATATCAACCGAGAGACTACTGCATCATACAGTGTTTTAGACTACTTGCGTGTCTTATTACAACAAGGTATGCTATTAAGTCAGAATAAAATTTTCTTAGATCACCTTTTGTTTTTCTTAAGGGTAGCTACTCGCAAAATGTCGAGAGATTAATCACTAAATGATCATTTCGTTGCAGATGTGTTCGGTTAGGAAGGGCAGCTGGTGGCAACGGATGTTACTGATAGCCTGGATGACAGTGACGCTGGTGCTAACTAGGAGCTACTCCGGTAACCTTATGTCCCTCCTGGCTGTGAGATACAGTCTTCAGCCTTACCAGACTCTCCAGGATGCTGTGGATGATCCCTCCGTAGCATTGATCTGGGAGGAAGACTCATCTTATGTTCAATCTTTCCGAGTAAGTTTTTTTGCTTATGAATGTTATATTAAATTTTAAGTTAAATTGCCTTCTTAATTCGTATAATACAAATTTATTTACATAACCTGTGTTGCTTTTTGTGAAAATTATCATAAATACATTCAGTGATGTAATTGAGAATGGTTCTAATCATGACAATCATATGACTAAGACCCGCGTCAGGAAACACTTGTCCTGTTTCCTGACAAACTGTGCCTCACCTAACTTAATGTTTTCCCTCCCCATTCTTGTCATCGATCTCGCCCTTAAAAGACGTACGTCCCTCATGAAGCAGAGGTTTCACACCAAATTAATTATAATATACCTTCTGTTTGGGTTATGACCATTTGGATCATTAAGTGGAATCAAAAGATGGGTGTGGCGAGTTTAACTGTGATACCCTAATTCTTACTGCACCAATTTCTTTAAATACATTTGGCATATTGACACCTACAACACGGTTAAAACAATCTTCATTTAAGATACACCAATGTTTTAAGTTTGAAAGTTTAATAAAACATTCTCAATTTACCGCATAAAAACCAATATGCAGTTTGTTCATCAATAACAGTAAGATACTGATGTTCAGGCAGTAACTTTAAAATACTACTTCAGAAAGACTTCAAACTCTCAACACTGGGGTATCGCACTTAATGGAATGTGCGGATTGATTTGCGGTTGTTTGTACAATTTTGCAAATTTTATCGAATATATTGGAATTTTAGTCTATTCATAATATTTATTAATCCCTGGTATTAATCCCTCGTATTAATCCCTGATATTAATCCCTAATATTAATCCCTGATATTAATCCCTGATATTAATCCATGATCCCTGATAATCCCTAATATTAATCCCTAATATTAATCCCTAATATTAATCCCTAATATTAATCCCTAATATTAATCCCTAATATTAATCCCTAATATTAATCCCTAATATTAATCCCTGATATTAATCCCTGATATTAATCCCTGATATTAATCCCTGATCCCTGATAATCCCTAATATTAATCCCTAATATTAATCCCTAATATTAATCCCTAATATTAATCCCTAATATTAATCCCTAATATTAATCCCTAATATTAATCCCTAATATTAATCCCTAATATTAATCCCTAATAAAAATCTCTAAAGAAAAATCTCCGTATAAAGTTCTCTGTATAAACCATTGCAGAAAGTTGGACACTGAATAAAACCTGAGAGATACTCATCTTTGGTATTTATATTATGTGATGTATTATTAATAAATACATTTAAAGAGAGCAACGTCTGGGATATATAAAGCGGTGACGGACCTGGAGAAGATAGGGAGAAATGTTTACCTGACGTTTAGTTCGATCTCTGAGAGAGCTCCAACACTGGTGAGGCGAGGCGATCATGTACTCGTGCTGGAGGAGAACTCGGAGAATGTATACATAGCGCAAGACTTCTCAACCACAGGTTTTTGTCTTACTGATCATCATTGTGTAAATTTCAGCTTCCTTTTGAAATAACTGAGAATTTTACACATTTACTTTCACAGTGAGAGGTAGGAACCCACATGAAGTTAGTAGTTAATCTGTGAATATCTTAGTCTGCTATTAATTCAAGGCTTCTGGATCCAACAGAACGCTGTGATTTTTACTTGTCTAGAGAGAAGGTGTTGCCTCTGATGTTTGCTATGATCGGACGCAAGAACAGTCCTCTGGTGCCGGTGTTAAGCAACAGGTAATGTCGTTTATCTCATTAAAGCTTATATGGTTTCATTTCGGTAAATATTACATCGCATGTGACTTCCTTAATATTTAGCCATATCATTTTCCCACCAAATTAGGTGGGAAACATTCATTGTAATTTAATCATTAACGTTCTTGCCAGATGTACACGGACATCATTATCCAATCAATCTTCTAAACCGCATTCCCACTCAGCCTTTGGAGTGCACTCATTGCTTTCCCACTTCCAGTATTCTGACCATATATAGACTGCTAAATAAATTTCAGAATATTATTCAACAGTGAACAGTTTATGCGTAACTATATTCTATTAGGAATTTAGTAAACGTGAAGATTTTTAACTTTTTAACTATTCAGCATTTTCTTTTTTACCACCTCATAAAACATGAATTAAGAAATTCTCTTAGTTTTAGCTTCATGGGTTTTGATCCTCCACAGTCGCTCTGCTGACCTGGAATAAATAGGTGTTCTTCACATTAGCCACTCACTTCAATGAGCCAATGTGTCTTTAGTTGTTATTCAGCTTCATATTTATTGTCATCACCACCACCACCATCATTTTAACCTTAATCTTCACTGCAGTTGTATCTAAACTCAAAATAATTATGGTAGTAGTATTGTCATAAGAAACAGGAAAATGTCTTCTGAGGTGATTCTTCATGTGGTGACCCTCTCGGAGGAGATTTTGGTCATATGGCTGAGGCATTCCGTTGGATTACCAGTCGACCTTATGAAACTGTCTCGTTAGAATAGATGGTAGACTCGCCACCCATTAGTAAACAAAATATCAACACACCATTGTTTCCTAGAAAGTCATCATATATTAATAAGAGATAATACTGCTGTAAACATTGTTCTTAATTCTGTAACCAAGTAATATTACATTTACGTTGTGCGTGGAAGGATCAGGTCAGTGAAAGAAGCTGGATTGTACGACTACTGGATGAAGACGAGTGTTCCCAACTCCTCCTCCTGTGCTCACACCTCTACCAAGACGACTGTCAAAGCTTCGCTCTCCCTTACTAACCTCTCGGTCAGTAATTTAGCCAGTAAACAATAAAGAGTAGAGGATTACTCGGTACCCTTTCTCACTATTTTCATTATAGAAATAATGAAATATGTAAGAATAATGATTTTATCAAAAACTTAAATACTACTATTGCATAAATTACTACTGTTATAATTAATAAATGTGAATAATATTTTAATTACTATTATTACCATATTATTATTACCATACTATTACCATACTATATTATTATTACTATTATCATTACTATTATCATTACTATTATTATTACTATTATTATTACTATTATTATTACTATTATTATTACTATTATTATTACTATTATTACTATTATTACTACTATTACTATTACTATTATTACTATTACTATTTTCATTACTATTTTCATTACTGTTACTACTATTATTATTGCTATTACTAGTTTTGTATGCAAAGAAATCCTAAGTATTTTTTTTTTAATTCTAATAATCTTTTTTCATTGCAGGGAATGTTCGTGGTCCTGGTCTCCGGTTACGGTCTAGGTCTCCTGGTCTTTGGTCTTGAGGCAATTATTGACTGGAGCAAGATGTCACGGAGTTAGTCACACAACTGACTATATATCATTAGGTAGAACACATTAAAAATATATATAGCGAGTGTAAAAACAGATATTTGTCAGAAATTTGTTGGCCCCGTTTATAAACAGGTGAACTAGCATGTTAATGCTCTCAATAATAGTTTTCTTCATCCTCATATTTCAGTGTTTTAATATAGTTTCAATACTTATAGATACATGTATATGTAATATAAATTTCTCTCTCTCTCTCTCTCTCTCTCTCTCTCTCTCTCTCTCTCTCTTGAAGACGTCCCCTGGGATCGTATTTGATTGGACATCCTCTTTTCTGCAACATTGCAAGCTCCTGATATGTTGATTGCAACACGAAAGGCCTAGAGCTATGATTCTACTCCGCCCGTGGTTTTGTGTAAATATATATATATATATATATATATATATATATATATATATATATATACACACACATTAACGTCGTGCCGAATAGGTAAAACTGGTCAATTAGCAAGAACTTTTAAAATTGTCCTTTCTAAAATTTTTCTCATACGTTTAAAGACATATTTTTTCATTTATGTTAATGAAAACGTTAATTTTGTATCAAAAGAACCTTAGAAAACTTCCCTAACCTTATTATAACAAGCGCCATTTTATTTAGCCTAATCCAACTAAATAAATTTTAGGTAAGTTTACAAGAATTTAATAAACACAATTAAGTAATTTTTAAGGCAAGAAAAGCGTAGCTATTTAAGCCAAAATCGCAAGTTTTACCTATTCGGCACGAAAATATATATATATATATATATATATATTTTTTTTTTTTTTTTTTTTTTTTTTCCCACAAGTCAGCCGTCTCCCACCGAGGCAGTTGTTGAACAAGGATTATTTGGTAGGGCTGAAAGCGGGTGGTTCAATGATAAACTTCGGAGGCTTCTTACTTAAGTCGTGGTGGGTACACAGGCTTGTGTGTTGTGCCCATGGCCCGGGCAGGGCCATCCCACGAGAGAGAGCTAGGAGTAGGCCTTGTTGACTGAGTGACGTGAGCAGCCAGCGTGAGAGCGTGGCAAGGGCAGGCAGGCTGAAGTGGCAACGCCTATAGGTGGCAGCACCAGCATGGCGCGAAATATGAACTAAGCTGGCAGGCAGCATGGGCTGTCTGTGCAGACAGTACAGGCTGTCTACAGAGTGACCCAAAGAGAAAGAGTCCCCAAAAAGAAAATACTTTCATCATTCAACACTTTCACCTCACACATAATCACTGTTTTTGCAGAGGTGCCCAGAATACAACAGTTTAGAAGTATATACGTATAAAAATACACTATGTATCTCCAAACTGCCAATATCCCAAACCTCTCCTTTAGAGTGCAGGCATTGTACTTCCCATTTCCAGGACTCAAGTCCGGTTATATAAAATAACCGGTTTCCCTGAATCCCTTCACTAAATATTACCCTGCTCACACTCCAACAGATCGTCAGGTCCCAAATACCATTTGTCTCCATTCATTCCTATCCAACATGCTCACGCACGCTTGCTGGAAGTCCAAACCCCTCGCCCACAACACCTCCTTTACCCCCTCCCTCCAACCTTTTCGAGGAAGACCCCTACCCCACCTTCCTTCCCCTACAGATTTATACGCTCTCCATGTCATTCTACTTTGATCCATTCTCTCTAAATGACCAAACCACCTTAACAAACCCTCTTCTGCCCTCTGACTAATACTTTTATTAACTCCACACCTTCTAATTTCCACACTCCGAATTTTCTGCATAATATTTACACCACACATTGCCCTTAGACAGGACATCTTCACTGCCTCCAACCGCCTCCTCGCTGCAGCATTTACAACCCAAGCTTCACACCCATATAAGAGTGTTGGTACTACTATACTTTCATACATTCCCTTCTTTGCCTCCACATATACCTCAATGCACCACTCACCTTTTTTCCTTCATCAATTCTATGATTAACCTCATCCTTCATAAATCCATCCGCTGACACGTCAACTCCCAAATATCTGAAAGCATTCACTTCTTCCATACTCTTCCTCCCCAATTTGATATCCAATTTTTCTTTATCTAAATCATTTGATACTCTCATCACCTTACTCTTTTCTATGTTCACTTTCAACTTTCTACCTTTACACACATTCCCAAATTCGTCCACTAACCTTTGCAATTTTTCTTTAGAATCTCCCATAAGCACTGTATCATCAGCAAAAAGTAACTGTGTCACTTCCCATTTTGTATTTAATTCCCCATAATTTAATCCCACCCCTCTCCCGAACACCCTAGCATTTACTTCTTTTACAACCCCATCTATAAATATATTAAACAACCATGGTGACATTACACATCCCTGTCTAAGACCTACTTTTACCGGGAAGTGGTCTCCCTCTCATCTAATAAATAAATAAATAAATAAATATATAATATATATATAAATATATATATATAATATATATTATATTATATAATATATATATATATATATATATATAATATATATATATATATGCAATAAGATCACAGTAAACAGGATCTAATTTATATAAACCTTTGGTTTATGTAAATTAGATCCATTTATAATTAATAGAATTTGGGAAGAATTTAATAATACACTGGACAAATAATAATTTTTAAATTTTCTTGGGTAGAATAGTTTGTTGGTGAGTTGTGCAAAGGACCTGTCCAGTTGGGCCGGCGCGCGTCAGGTGTTTAACCGTTGTGGGATCTGATAGTGAGGTGTTGGCCAGACCCCTTATATAGCTTCCTTGGATGCTTTACTTTCATAGTTCCTTGATAATGTGAGTAGTCACGAAAGCGCTTGGAATTTCTATATTCTTTCAGAGTTGTTGTTTCGCATATATATATATATATATATATATATATTTTATATTATATATATATATATATATATATATATATATATATATTAATAATTATATTATATTAAAATATATATTATATATATTTTATATATATATATTTATATATATATAATATATATATATATATATATATATATATATTTATATATATATATTATATATACTAATATATATATATATATATATATATATATATAATATATAATATATATATATTTTATATATTAAAATGTTGTGTGGGGAATTAAATCACTCCTTGTTTGTTTTTATTATGGTTGGTAATACACATCTTAATCTTCAATTTGCTTTTTGTAATGTACTCGTCAATCCATCACGTCTCTACAAACGATTAAAAAAAAAAAATAAAAATTAATAGTTGTTGGAGTTTAATTTCCGATTTATATGTACATATGATATGTACAACACAACACACACACACACACACACACCAGGACAGAACAGCAGGGGCAAGCACACACACAACTACTCTCAGAACATACAACCTATCACAACCATCCAACACACCCTACAATCATACCCACAGCCTCCACCCAACACAAGCTATAGAACCCCACAGTATGGCACCAGGTCTCCCACCCTCACAGGCCCCCAAACCACAGTTGTTGGAAAGGAAACTGAAGGTATGGTACACAAACGCTGATGGAATAACAAATAAGTGGGAGGGAGTGGCAAGAAAGAGTCAAAGAAGCATCACCGGACATCATAGCTCTCACAGAAACCAAGCTTACAGGTATGATAACAGATGCATCTTTCCAACGGGATACCAAATCCTGAGGAAAGACAGAGGAACAGGGGGGGTGGAGGAGTGGCGTTTGGCTGATCAAAAATCGCTGGAATTTTGATGAGCTGGAGAGAGAAGATAGCGGAGAAGAAAAGTGATTACATAGGGGGGAACACTTCACTCTGGAGGTCCCAAGGTGGTAATAGCAGTGATGTATAACCCACCACAAACAGCAGGAGGCCAAGGCAAGAGTACGACGAGAGCAATAGAGCGATGGTTGACACATGGCTAGAGTGGCCAGAAGAGCTCATGCTTTGCAGGGCAAAGCTCCTGATCATGGGTGACTTTAACCACAAGGAGATAGATTGGGAGAACTTGGACCCACATGGGGGCCAAGATACTTGGGAGGGCTAAGATGATGGAGGTGGTACTGGAGAACTTCATGTACCAACACGTAAGGGACACTACAAGAGAGAGAGGAGAGGATGAACCAGCAAGGCTGGACTTAGTATTCACCTTCAGTAGTGCAGATATCGAGGACATCACATATGAAAGACCCTTGGGGCCATGACCATGGGGTTTGTAAGCTTCGAATTACACAGTAGAGCTACAAGTGGAGGGAGAAGCAGGAAGGCCAGGACGAATGAAGCCAAACTACAAGAAAGGGGATACACAGGAATGAGGAACTACCTGAACGGGGTTCAGTGGGACAGAGAACTGGCAGGGAAACCAGTTAATGAGATGATGGAATATGTAGCAATAAAATGCAAGGAGGCGAGGAGAGGTTTGTACCCAAGGGTAACAGGAGTAATGAAAAACCCAGGATGAGCCCATGGTTTACCCAAAGGTGCAGGGAGGCAAAAACCAAGTGTGCTAGGGAATGGAAGAAATATAGAAGGCAAAGGACCCAGGAGAATAAGGAGAACAGTCGTAGAGCCAGAAATGAATATCCCAAGATAAAAGGGGGGCCCAAAGACAATATGAAAATGACATAGCAGCGAAACCCAATCTGACCCGAAATGTTGTACGCCACATCAGGAGGAAAACAACAGTCAAGGACCAGGTATTCAGGCTAAGGGAAAGGGAAAGGGAGGGGGAAAAGACAACAGGAAATGACCGGGAAGTATGTAAAGGGAACTCAACAAGAGATTCAAAGAAGTGTTCACGGGGGAGACAGAAGGGACTCCAGAAAGACGGAGAGGTGGGGCACAACCACCAAGTGCTGGACACATTTGCACACAACCGAGGAAGAAGTGAAGAGGCTTCTGAGTGAGCTAGATACCTCAAAGGCAATGGGCCAGATAACATCTCCCCATGGGTATTGAGAGAGGGAGCAGAGGCGCTATGTGTACCCCTAACAACAATATTCAATAACTCTATCGAAACAGGGAGATTGCCTGAGGCATGGAAGACAGCAAATGTAGTCCCAATCTTTAAAAAAGGAGACAGACATGAAGCATTAAACTACAGACCAGTGCCCCTGACATGTATAGTATGCCAAAA